AGCGTGGCACGCATAGCATATACAATTAAGCCGATTAACACCTTAAACAATAGCGTTGCGAGTCTGTTGTATTACTAGTCCAGCTTAAACTAATGCAAAGACACATAATTGAAAATTATAAAAAGTAACTTACTGTGACACCATACAACAAAATGTGTGGCCATGTTGAATCACAGTGATCCTATGTCTACTACCGGTAGTTCACTCATTTGGACTTTTCTGGCATTTTCTAGACAACCAGAGTTTACTGTAGGGTTTTTGAAAATATATTGGTCATTGTGAAGTTTGCAGCATTTTTCGACATACTAAATTTCTATAAACATTTCCACTTGAATAGTAATTTCTTGTGATTTACAAAATGACTGTAAATAATGAACAAAAAATTGATTAAAGTTTAATATCTTTCATTTCAATCTAGTTCTCAGGCTGTAACCCTGATGTCATGTCAATTTCTGTTGAAATGTCACCTATGAGGGCGCTCTCACACATAGTTAACCTATCACACATAGTTAACCTATTTTTAATTAGGCTGTCAATGGAGGGCGCTATCTATCCTCCACCATCTGTCACTTGTGTTATTTCATTTCATGCTCGGGTGGTAAATTGGTACTTTAAGCCATTATGTTTGTGAATTCATATAGAATGTATATTTTCGACCTTTCTTTTACATTTAAATCAACATAATAACCAAAACATATTTTCTGTATAGTTTTAAAGCCTAAATTAATTTGATTGAAAATGATAAGTTCCTGCATTCAATAGTCATATATATATATATATCATGTTTAAAACATGATATATATTAGATAATAATTTTTATTTTATACACAGTTGCAGTCTTGACTTGTTCATGGAGCCCACATGTATATTCACCTTTATAGTGAGCACAATAGCCCCATATGGTATTCTCTTACCCACTCTGTATTAACCAGGTTACCAATGTTAATTTTAAACTAGTTAAAAAAAAGAGAAGTTTAATTTAGTATTTGGCCTTCAAATATTTTATTTAAAGCAACCAATTCCATTCTTTCTTATGAACACTGTGTGTTTTATAATAATAAAAAAACCAATAGCCAACTGATTTAATATCCGTTCAACATTATTAAAACATACCAGATTTGACTTATGTGTGCCACGCTTCTTTTACTTTATTCCATGCATGGCTTTTCAGCTTTATGTTACAGTATCCGAATCAAACCCTGATGGTTTAACGTCATAATCACCGTTCACATATTTTATAGTGTGAGTGTGCCACCTAGTGGCAGGATTTGGTCTAATGTGTCCCATATTACACTTAACTACATCGGTCGTTGAACTCTTTAAAACGGTTGCACACGCATTTTTACATGAAATTATGACTGATATAGCAATGGATATTCCTGTTGGAGAGATTTGTAGCAATATTTCATTGTAATTATTAATTTATAAGAAACGTGTTTGTATAATGTACATGTACAAGGTTTTTGATGCTAAGTATAGCCGTGCCATGATCGTGCTGACCGAACCTTTGTGAAGGTCGATATGACCATGAATTGAGTTGTGTGCATGAAGCCTGCTATTTGGCATATAGGCAATCTTTGACTTGTTTTTCCTTATTCGGTTGGTAACATAAAATATGGAGATTTATGTTAATAAATATCAATTTAATTTAAGACACACAGATCTCCCTTTTGTGTGAGGCATGCTGTATTCTGAGTTTTATCGCATTGGATAATATTGTTTGCCTTTATTTAGTTTTGAATTAATTACAATATATCCTGAACTGTTTGGGAAAATATTAATACATTTTGTCAAATTGGTTTAGCCACAGATGTTACATTGCTTCATGAAAAAAAAGACAGATTTGGGGGAAAAAATTGGAATATTCTACTTTAACATTCAATTAGGCAACATATTTTTCTGATGTTTTAATGTACATTCATGTAGATGATGACGTATTTTTTAAACGTTGACTACCAGGGTACTTCTTCAGAATAACTCTTGGTGAAGGCTCAGTGGAAGCTGAGCTCAGCAATGTAGAGTTTCACTTTATTTTCATATATTTGAATTATATTGATATATTATCTCTGCCAAGCTATTGAACCTCAATACTTTTCTTCAAAGCTTTAATTGATTTTAATTATCTTTAAATTATATTTCCTGAGTGTGCAATCATCCGTAATGTAAACTAGAACTGTTGCAGCACTGACTTTGTTTGAACATATGGTTGGGATGTGAGCTTGAATTTATAGTACATACACTTATATGGCAGGAAAGAAAGCTTGTGAAGTGATTCTCTGTTTGCTGATTTATTTCTATGGTTTGAGGTATTCAAAAACTGTTTTTTTGAGTAACATTTTGCTCTGCCTGGTCCCAGCTGCTCAAGCTATCACTAGATTTTCAGGGTCATGTTACCAATGACCCAGAGGGGTTTAGCATTGACCTTGTAATGGCATTGTACTTCATGCATGATTGCCTCAGAGAGAATGATGAATCTCTGTTTACTGAGCAATCTGAATCAGCTCAGGGAGAGGATGAAAAACAACAAATCCACGCTGACTCCTTTGTTTACTGTTTGAATATGTTTCACTTGTCATGGTTGCATCTCCTGTTTCCTGCGTTTCCTGGTCTTAATGGTTTTGGCTTATCATAATTATATACCCTGGTAGCATTAGTTTATGATAATTGAATTTGTGAAATGAGTGACCTGCGTGCACAGTGTGTGGATGTTTTTTAGTTTGGTTGTGGCAGGGATAATGGTGTAATCTGTATATTCAGACTGTAAGCACTTCACAGCCTTATGTTTTAGCCACTTGACTTTCCTTTTGTGTTTTTTTTTTTTTTTATTTCTGCCTGCACTTTCTTAGTCAGTCTGTTCCATTTCCCAATCTTTTTCCTTGCACTTCACTTCTTTTGTACACTTCTCAATCAATATATGGTATGCACAGCATCAATAAAATGTAAAAGGTGCCCCTTCCTCCTTCCCAGTACACCTTGGCTTTACACAATATAAATAGTGCCCTCTGTCCCTTTATAGCGATGTGAAAGAAAAATGATGTGAGCATTTTACTCTAGTGTGAAGGAGCTAGAAAGTTTTAAACCCCCCTCAGTGACCATTCACATCAGGTTTGTGTGTAAATTTGGGGTCTTAAACTGCATTTACATGTCATGGTCGATTGTATTCATGCTTTATTTCAAAGTAGATGTTCACAGTATGTGTTGAAGTTTCCTGTATGTATTTATAGACCCATGATCTGCTGCTCGATTTTATCACTTTTATACATGTGCATAATATGGTATTTGACATGGCCAGAAGTTGTCAAATATTGATTATTATTGATTGCGTGAAAGACATAAATTAATTAAATAATTGTACACACAAGATAGAAATATATGGTCAACCATAACGGTTTCTATCTACAAGTCAGCACTGTTAATTTCGTTTTCAGTGGCTGCCATATTTTAGCTGCTTGTATAAAACACAAGATTATGAATTTTATTAACCTCTTACTTAACTGGCATGGAGTCTAGTGATAACACAGTATATAATGCTCACAATTACCCTAAGGATTTGGTATTGATATCATGAATGCTGTTTGATTTCTCACAAATATTTAACATATGATGTGAATTTCATGATTCCAGGAAATCAAAGAATTTTGATAATCACAGCAACTAGCGTTAAAATTTGTCTTAAACGAATACTGTCAGATTATAATATCATTTGCAAAATTGAATCTGAAATTGTGCTCAAAATTTAAACATCATTTTTGAGATGGTTCAAATCTTTTCTGATATCTAAATTAGAGTGACTCCTAAATTAGAATACTTGCGGTATACCAAAATTGCAGGGGATGGGCACTGAAAAACGACTCATTGTACAAAACGAGAATTGGTGTTACTTCGGAAATTTGCATCTGTAATGCCGACAGATTTTAGTAATTGATTTGTTTTAACTGACCCTGGTTTACCAAGTGGTTGCAAATGTGCAGCAGTAACAAAGCCCAGTCCAAATGTGTGCATGAGTGGGCTGGCAGTATTTAACAGATGGGACCTGTTTGTTCCTCTCCCTCTCGTTTATCATTGCTTGGCAACAACCACTATCATGTTGCTGCCAGGAACAAATTAATTTTTTACCTAAATGAGGATGTAATGCTGCTTGTTCACTGGAATTGAGTTTTGATGCTTAGTTGCCTCTGCTGTGGTGATTGCTATTTGCAAATTGCTTTCATACAGTCAGTAGCATAAAAATGAAAATAAAAATGTGCCTCTCTCAAACTCGTTCATTTCCAATTTGGAAAATAGGTTTGGTAAAATATGTTATTATCAACTTCAGTACTCAGGATAGCTTCAACTTTGTGCGTCCCAAAATTGCAGCTTGATGTCCATCTTATAGAATTCACTCTGCACTCAGGACCTTTTTCCCTATACTCTGGTACAGATTGCTTGCAAAATATCCATCACTAACAGCAGAGCTACATCAGTTGACTGGCTGTTCTTTTCAACATCTAATGACTTGTTCGTACAGTGAGCATTGTATACACCTTTTTTTTTCATCTACTAATAACACATTTGTATGGATAGTATATATTATTGTGAAACTTGTAGTGAAACGTCATACAAACAAGTTATTAGTAGATGAAAATAGATGTACTGTACTATACCGATAATGACTTGTCCATATGAACCAATAAGTTATTAGTAAGTGCCTTTGCTTCTAACACACACTAATATGTTATAAAACATATGCATGGCTGAAATGGCTGCCTAATGCACAATACGTGACCAAAAAAGTTTGGGCCCCAGAAATGCTGGCTGGAATTTCCTACATTCTTATTTGCTAATATTGTCTATCGCAAATTAAAATTGATTTACAGTATGTTGTGCTGTGTTGATTGAATTGTTGGATAATCTTGTTTAAAGACTGCAAAGCTTTTTTTATAATCATCATATTATTCTATCATCAACAACTATGAGCAGAGCTTCTACTGCAGCTGCTGTAACTAGGGTCACACCCAAAATATTACACTAATAAAGTAGAACACATTATCTAAATGATAAAAATTAGTCATTTTACAGTACCTACTTATTTTATGTGTGGTTAGGTCATAGTAAAAGTTGAAACTGGACGAACAGTTTTTTCCCATCAGAATAATGTATTGTTTTTATTTTGTACCTTAAACCTACAGATAAAGAGACCCTAGTAATGGACTCTGGAAAGTTGTACGTTTTGGATCAGCTGCTATCGAAGCTGAAGTATCAGGGTCACCGTGTCCTCATCTACTCTCAAATGACACGAATGATTGACATACTTGAGGTAAGTCAGTTAATTTTATGGCGCTTAGTTTTGAATGAGAACTTTGGTCATTACTCAGTGTTGATTGAGAACATTTGTCCATTTGTCGCTAAAGAGACTACGGTACTGCTCATTGGAAAGCATTGATTATTGCTTTGTTCATCCTTGAGTTTTGATTCCATGCTTGCATGTCTGCACCAATTTTGTTCGTGGTTGGTACAAAAACAAGTCATAATGTACATATGCACGTTTATTTGTTTAAAACAAGAACACAATTTTAACATGTCATCGACTATTTCTCTGACATGCCATGACCATTTCATTTAAACTTGGTATGACCGCCACGTTATGGGTTACTGATGTGAGAAGGTTTGTTTTGTGATTTGTTTCAAAATGTCCGACTGATGTCCATATTTGTTTTATTTTCATGTATTTTTAACTATTTCTCAGACGTGATTTAACTGATTTAGTTCATAGTACGTACAGAGACAAAGCATAATGATATATATATGTATATACATGTTCATTTGTTTTTCATTTTGATGACTTCTGACAGACTGACAGCCATTTTGTCCCCCAAAAAATGTCATAAACCGTTTCTCAACATGTCTTAGTTGATTTTATTCAAATGTGGTATAAACATCACACATGATAGCTTACTGATGCACATCATTTTGTGTGTGATT